TATATATATATATATATATATATATATATATATATATATGTACTTCCTAATAAGCGCAGCGTGGGTATGTATGAATGTGTGTGTTTGTTTGCGCAGCTATGTGAAGATGTTCACCTAAATGTTTTTTTTAAGAAAAGGTAAAAGGTTATGAGTACAAAGCGAAAGCTACCTACTACTACAAACACCCCTACGGTCAGCGGTTGATTAGGAGTTTTCTCTCTTTCTGCTTGTGAGAGTAAAAAGAAGGAAGCGCCGCTGTCAGAGTCTGGTGGTATCACGCGTGCTGGGGTTCCTCGTGTGTGTGTGTGTGTGGACGTGCGTGTTCTTCGTTTGCTGAGTCAGAAAAAAGGGAGAAAAAGAACCCCGCAATCCTCGATGTAGAGGAACGAGCCACGAAGAAAGCCACGAGTGTAAACACGAAGAGTGACGTTAACGTGCGAAACGCCAAAGCGGCGGCAAACGTTGTAACGGAGAAAAGAAGGAAAGCAAAAAAAAAGGAGAGTGAATGAGAGGCGAAGACCGACCGAGCAACAGCAACAGCGAGTTTGGCGTTCTCCACCACGTCTCTTCTTCTTCCTGTCCAAGTGGGAAACAGAGACAGTACGTACAAGAGAGAGAGTTTGTAGGAGTGAAGATGACAGTCGCCGCTGAAACATACATAAGGATACTTCATTCTCACTGTTTTCCATTTCGGGAAGGTGTGTGTCCTGCCGCACTCCGTCGTTGAAAAGAAATAACATTGCCTTTTTTTGTTGTTGTCGCTCCACGCGCTAAAGAATCGTCCGCCGCGTCCGTTTCCATGTTGAGAGCTCGCTATTTTTCTTTTGCGTTTGTTTCGCGAAAAGGCCAAGCGTAGTTCGCAATGTCGTTCCTTTACAGAAATTCAACAACAACACAAAAAAGAATACAACCACGTACGTTCGGCACCTACGCGCGTGTCTTTTCCCCCGCACACTAAAGCGTCCTCGAGCGACACAACAGCATACCACACGGCACACAGAACGGCATTCGTCCAGGACTATCATTATTGCACGACATCGCACCATCGCGGTCGTTGCCGCCATCGCCAAAACAACAACAACCAAAAAAAAAACCCACGCAAGTCATCACGCACCGAGACCTTTCTTACCCTTGTGGGACATGGCAGACTCAAACTCGCGCTCCAGGTTCTCGTTCATACGGCGCACCTCCGCGCTGTTCTTGGCGTGTGTGTTGTGATGCGGGTGGCTGTTGCTGTCCCCACCTCCCGCCGCCGCGGCAGCCTTGGCGCCTCCCATGAGGCGGGCGAACTTCATGCGTTTCTCCTCATTGTGGCCGAAGGCACCGGTGGCGGAGTACTGCCCTAGCTCAACCGTCTTCGGCCGGGGGCTCTGTGAAACCGCAGCAGAGGAGGACGCGGCAGTCTCGCCCTGCGCGTATTCGGCCCGGCTACGCTTCAGCGACGCGGACGACGGATGGGACTTGAGTGCTTTGCGGCACGCCTTGAGGTGCATCTGCAGCTCCTTGCGCTCTGCATCGTCGGTTGTGCCGCTTTGCAGTTGCTGCTCCAAGAGGCGAATGGTGACGAGGGCGATAGAAGCCAGCGCCTCCTCCCGCGACACGCGCTGTGTGGCTGACGAGGCGTCGTCGCGATGGCGGGACTCGAGATGTTCGGCTGCAGCATCACGAACTTCACGAATGTAATCCTTCAACGAGGACATGACAGAGTAATCTGTGAAGAAGAAAAAAAGCGAGTATATATGTATAATGTTTTGTGATGTCCTTTTTAAGTGTTCTGCCTTCACTTCTGTACAGTCTTGATGCACGCAAAGGGGAACGAGAGAGAGGAGCGTGAAACACAGTTAGTCAAAAAAAATGAAAGATCGTCCCCCTGAAGAACCTCATGGTGAACAGCGCTCCTCCAACCTAACTTTATTAGCATGGCGTTGGTTCCTCAACTTCAAAAACAATAGCAACAGTAACGAGCAGCGACGCACTCCATCTGATGGGAGGAGAAGCTAAACCCGACCGCCATTACGTGCTAAATGCAAAGGGGGTTTTCTCCATTTCGTTTGGGATGTATTCGCGTAAAGACAGATATAAGCGAAATGGCAGGGGGAAAAAAGGTGAAGGAAGCTGCCACACTACACTAATGTACATCGTCCTGTCATCACGTCAAACAAAGCAAGAGGCCGAAAAACGTACCTAGGAGATGGGGAGTTCGCGCTCTTCCTTCTGAGGATAGATGGGCCGCAGCCTCTCCGTTTTTAAGGCCGGCACGACGTCGGATGCGGTAGGATCGGTGACCGCACTGGACAGAGTAGAGTTTGCTGCCCCACGCACCCCCAACGACAGCTGCACCGCACCACGTGTCTGCTGCACCACGCGATCTCGCAGCTCCGACTCCTCCAACTGCTTGTACGTCTCGCGCCGCTCACACCTCGCTTTGTAAAGTGCCCGTTGATCTTCGTAGCGCATGCGCGGCTCCCCGCTCGGCGCCGGACCGGCACGCGGTGCTACCTTCACAATGATCTTACTCTTCTCATTCCGTCCGGCGTACTTGACCAGCGTGTTCTCCATCGGCTTCCCACAAAACCACAGCGCTGCCTCGTCCTCCTTGACCCGCTCGCTCGCCTTCCAATCGGGGTCGACAATGACGCGGCAGTGGTACACCAGTAAGCGAGTGTCCTCGTCTAGATCAGGGTCGTCGTGCTGGGCGTAAAGACGCTGAATGGCTGCCTCGGTGCCTTCTGCGTGCGTGCAGAAGGACGGATACAGAAGCGACGTCAGCACACGCAGTTCCGCGACGGCGTGGTCAAACTCGTCGTCGCGGACAGGACTTTTCGTGTCCTTCAGCCGTTTGTGCAGCTCTTCTATGCGTGCTGTGTACTGCCCCACCAGCTTTGCCTCGCTTTCTTCCATCTCTTTCTCCTTGTGGTGTTGCGTGAAAAGCGTTGCGAGCTCCTGGGCGGACATGAGCACAAGACGCAGCTGATGCCGCGTGTTCAAGAGGTGGGCGATGATAGGGACGATGGAGTCCTGTGCAGAGGGCGACGCACCAGCGGTGGTGGTGGAAGTCGCCTTGTCGGACGGGGGAGTTGGGGAGGCGGAGACAGCATCGCTGAGCTTCCGCTCCACCACGAACTCATCGGGGTACACGGTCCCCTTCACGACGAGGAGCACCATGTGGAGGAAGTAAAAAAAAAGGGGGGGGCAAAAGAAGAATGGAGGGAGGAGTGGTGTAATGAGGGAAATAGAAGAATAATGGGGGACTCGGGCCCACTGCTAACGGAGTGAAAGTTCTGAACAACGGAGAGGAGCGAAGAAAAAAAAAGGTAGGAAAACAAAGCAAAGGAAAAGGTGAGAGGAAATGTGTAACGCGTTAAAAGACCATCCGCAGCATATAACGACCCCCCCCCCCCCTCGAAAAAGCGAACGTTGTGTCCATCACAGCGAGAGCTTTTTGGGGGCGCGCAGACAACCAGGAGAAGAAAAAAGAGGCATTCGCGGTACATTACAGCGTCCGTAATTATCAGAGGGTTTCTCCTGTACTCCTGCCAGAAACGAAACATCAACAAAGCCTCCTCTTCCTCTAATCCCTTCGACGTGGTTAGAAATGCTTGCCTGGTGTGATGCGCCAAGGTGACAAGCTGACATGGAGTCTAAGTGGCACATTGGTGCTCACACCAGCATGTTCTCAGACTCCTATTCGCACATGTGCTAAAGCACTCCAACAGCGCAGATTTCTGTGCTGTAAAAGAGGCAAAGATGCAGATGCAGTTTGCCTGTTCAATCTGCGTCGGCTTCACTCAACAGAAAGCGGCCCAACGGTGTGTCTCGCAACAGCAGAGGCCGATCAGGGGCCAGGGAACGGCTCTGACGCACCACCTCGAGTGCCACCGTTTGTGCCTGCAGCCACTGCAGCGCCGCTTTCCTCCCCGACTCTCGCACCTCGCTGGCCGCCGTCGCCGCGTAGCCCTGTGTCCCGACGACGGACGCAGACGAACGCGACGACGCTTCTGTTTCTTCCGTTGCGTCTACACGCAGCAGCGCCAGTGCGGCCAAGACGTGACTGCGACGTGGGGCGCTGACGAAGTGTTCCGCCGAGGTGCAGCGCTCGGGGGCGACTTCCAGCAGGTACTCCCGTAGCAGGCGCAGAGCGTGGTGAAGAGCATCTTGCGTGCGAAACGGGACACGGTCCCGCACGGCAAGACTGACCAGTTCGGCATAGATCTCCTTCGTAAGGGCCATGGGCAGCACCCCGGGCTGCTCCAGCAGCTTCGCGATCTGCTCCATGTGGTCGAAGCCTTTATACAACACAACAAGGCGGAGTGACAGCAGCGCCTCCTCCGCGCAGGAGGGGGTGAAGGGGCCACTGCCTACGCGTGTCATCGCCACGCAGCGCGCAGCCGCCGTCTCGAGCCGCTCGAGTGTCTGGGCGTGCGCACTCCAGCCGAGGCTGTCGCACAGCTCACGCCACCGCGCGACGGCCGTCTCCACCGGCATTGCCGACGACGCAGCAGCCGTGCAGCACTGCGAGAAGATGCACTGCGCCGTGTACACGATCCAGCTGTGCCCAAGGCGGGTGCGGTGGTAGGCGGTGGTGGTGTTGGTGTAGTGCATCAACTGCAGAAGCGCGGGCTGGAAGCCGTAGAGGTGGTGTATCGCCATGGCCCAGTGCTCGAGGACCTCCCAAGCGCTATCGACGGCCTGCCAGCGGCACAGCGTCGCCACACACACGCGGTAGAAGAGGGAGCTGAGCAGCATCTTCGTTTGCGGCTGTGCCGCTGCGGTGTCGCGTTGTTGCTGCGCCGCGTCCTCGAGCTGCACCGCGATGAGGCGGATGGCGGTGGCCACCACGGTGATGGAGGTGGCCTGAGAGGTAAAGGAATTCGGCAGGGAGGCAAAGGATGGGGGCTGCGACCTTCGCGTAGTCGGGGAAGCAGGGCCTACCACCACATCGGGGCTTAGTAGGTGCACGAGGAGGGACACCAACACTTGCAGAACGGAGTGGCGGTCGGTGCCGCGTAAGACGACGAGGTGCTGCCACAGCGGCAGGAAGCCCTGTGTCGCCTCCGTGTGCTGCGGCAGCAGTCGCCACAGCGCCTCCACTGCCGCACTGGCAGGACCGTGCGCGAAGGAAGAGGAGGGGGAAGAAGGGGAAGGAGCAATAGCAGCAGACGGTGCTCGTGTGTCGAGGTGCTTGTTCACACTCCTTGAGCCAACAGTGATGCTGCTGTTGCCATCCACCGCTGCCGCGGCGGACGCACTCGCGAACACCGGGGCGACAGGAACGTGCAGGCCCGTGGGGGCATTGCGTGCCGACCCACGGGCAGACGGAGCGGAGCCAGGCCCGCACGTCTCACTCACCGTGTCACGCGTCCGTTTCATCTTCTGCACCTTGTGCGCGTTGCGGAGAGACGCGCCACCTGCGATGATCTTCAGCTGACGCGGCCCCGCGGAATCCGTCTCCGCCTTCTGCATCGCAACGTCGTCAGACGGCGCTGCCGGGGTCCCCCCTGCCAAATCGAACCAGTTGAGATCCTTTGGCAGACGTTTTATCTGCTGCCGTGTGGGTGGTGCGTTGACCGGCTCTTTTGTCGTGCGCTGCCGCTTCGCCGACGGCACCATCGAGTCGTCGCCAACAGACTCCACAGCCGCTGCGGAGGAGGAGGCAGTAGGAGGGGCGACGGCAGGACCACCGCCACCACTGTTACCCTTGCTTGCAGCGGTAGCAATAGCAGCCTCCATCGACTTGCGCATCTCCACGGACTGCAGCCGCTGCTCCTCCAGTTGTGCCTGTGCGCTGCGCACTAGCTCCTTCTGTGCCTCCATCTCGCGATAGAGCTGCGTGTACACAAGCTGGTAGGCGGCTTCGCGCTCACACGTGGTGCTGACGAAGAGCTCGAACTCGCGCTTCAGCTGCTCCTTCTGAGCCTTCTCTAGCGCGGCAGCTTTGTGTTGCTTATCCAGTTCTCCTTGCAGCTCCTTCTTCGCCTGCTGCACCGCTTCTTGAACACGCGCGGCGGTCACCTGCGCAGAGGAGTCGGTGGCGTTCGATGACGGGATGCCGCGTGTACGACGACTCTGCGGCAACGGCGCGGTGGTCCTGTCTGCGCTGCTGCGAATGGCAGCGGACTCACACGGTTTTTCCTCCTCCTCTCCATGCTGATCGGCTTCGCTGTTCGTCATGGCACGACCTGCTCCAGCACCGACAATACGTGCTCCGCGTGCGTCGCCGTCTACCGACGCCGTGGGGGTCGCGAGGGCGAGTCGTGCTCGCAGGTTTGTATTGGTGAGGCGCAACTCGCGGTTTTCTAGCCGGAGCTGCCTCATCTCCTTCTCCAGTAGATTGCTGCCGTCATTTTCTAGAAATGGGTCGGTCATGATGGTACACACGCATGCCTGTGTGTGAGTGTGTAATGGATGATCAGAGCTTCTTCTGCAATTCGATGCTATGGAGAGAGAAGAAGCAGACAATTAGAAGTAATAACGATGCTAATCTCCAAAACGATGATGTGTTCCAACCTTTTTTTGCTACTGCTGCTTTCTTGATGCTGAGTGGAATTTTCGACGTGGGCCACTTCAGGTATTGTCTTTCCTTTGTAATGGCCCACACGGACACACACACACACACACACACGCCCTCAACGGTGATTGGGAAGACAGCACTTCGGAAGGAGAGAAAAGAAAGACGTGCAGAGAACCGAAGAAAGGATGGCGTGGTCACTCAGCAGCGACAGAACGGCTCTTTGCCCCTTTCATCACATGGAATGCGACCACGGCAGTGGTGGATGCGTGAAAACAAAACCCCCACCACGTATGGTGGAAGCGGAACGTTAAATTGCAAGCTGCTTTCTTCTCTGTTCTCTTCTTTTCCTCAATTCGTCGTAATATTATTTGGGGGTATGTGTGTGCTTGCGCGACAGGGTGTATTGCTGCGGTGTCAGTAAAGTACGAGGCTTATTGTCTTTCTTCTTGAAACACACGAATGTCGCGCGCAACTCACTTGTTTTGTTCCCACCACGACCTCTCAATAGTCACAAACAACAGCAGAAGGCAGCAACAGCAACAGAAAGGGCGTGTGGTGGGAGCCTGTGAGCAGATCTGGCGGTTCTACCTGTTCGTCTACTCTAGACGGCTATGCTCGGTTTCTATCCTTCTCATTGGAGAAAACAGCCTTTGGCAAAGCTGGCTGCCTCGCGTCGTCCCCCAACGTCACCGCTAACGTGTTCTCAAGCTCTACAAGCCGCGCCGAGTGCTGCCGCACCAATCGCGCCATCGATGCCCCGTGCTGCCTCCACAGCGCGGTTACCTCCGCATTTTCGCCTGCGGTCGCCCCGCGCGTGCCGGGACGCAGCAGCGCACACTGCGTGCGAATACTCCCCGTCACGCTTTCCGTGTTGCACACCTCCGCCTCTAAGGCGGCCACGTACTGCTCCAGCTCATTCAATATTTCATCTTTCTGGGAGAGAACGAAATCGCGCGCGACGAGCACGTCAGTGGTCGTGGTCAGTTTCTGAATGCGCTCACTCGCGTGCAACAATTCCGCGTTTCGGTGCTCCGTTGTTGTTGGGGTGCTGAACATAACAACGTGCTTTTTTTCTCTTCTTCCGGTGGTATTTTCTCCAAATAGGCGTCCTTTAAAAAGCAAAATGACGGAGTACTAGAAGAGAAGAAGAAGAAAGGGCAGAGGGAGAAAGGGTTGGAGGAGTCAACGAAGCAGAAATAAAGAACAATCCTGCTGCTGCCAATCAGAGTTGCACACGTGGTCTCATCCGGATGCACAAGGAAATGATGACGATCGAAGGCAGCGAATTGTGGATGAAGTACGAAGCCCGTAGACACGGAGCATCCTCAGCGCGCCACGCTGACCGTCAATGCTTCCAACGAGTGTGTGGTCGAGTTTGTGAAACCCTCTTTGACAAACATACGTGCGAAGGGAAGTGACACGTTTGAAGAGGGCTGTCGTTTTCTCGAAAGCACGCCTGCGAAAAGACGCCGCCATTGCTTCTTCTTCTGCACGTGTGTACTCAGCGATGCTGCGGAAAGTATCGAGACTGCTTGCGATTGTGTTGTTGCTGCTGCTGCTGTTGCCACGTCGAGAATACGCTTTGGTGGAGCGGGATGAATTGTCCGGGAAGGACACACGGAAAGGTAGAAGGGAAAAATAGAATCCCAAGTCGTGAACGCAGTTAGAGGATCACGCATCGCTTCGATTCAGTGACGTACACACCCGCACATATAGATCCTAAGAGTAAAAGCAAGAAAAAAAGTAAACAGAAAAAAAGGCGAACAGAGGGCCATGAAGGTGCGCAAAATCGTGTCCCTTGTCAGGATTTGCGATATCACAGAACGGTGTGTAAAAGGGCTAAATCAGCTAATACAGCGGCAGCAAATCACAAGAAGAAAAAATATATATGCGTGGCCCACGTGAGAAAAACGTTCAAGAATGACGAGCCACAAACAATACAAAAACCGTCTCAGAAACGAAGAAAAAACAGAAGATGAAAGCAAACACGGGGGCAAAAAGAGAACATCTGCAGAGAGTGCAGTGCACAAATGACCCCTACGCCGCATCTCCGGGTTTGCGCATGCGCGTGCGGTAGAGCCAATCGTCATAAATCTTCCGCTTCTCCTCTACAAAGTTGTCTGGGTATGGCGTCTCACGAATCGCCGCATTACCTGTCATCGCCATGTACAGCATCGCCTGGTTGAACTCCTCCATGCGGGACATGGCGAACCCTTTGTGGTAGAGATGTCGACAGTTCTTCATCGCGTTGTACTGACCCTCCTTCACCAGGCAGCGCGAGGTCATCTCATGCACCAAGTTGGCGTGTGCCACGTACACATCCCGCTCCCGCTCCAGCCAATTTTTGTAGGCTAAGTAGTGGTAGTAATCGGTGTACTTCCCGTCCACGGGAGGCGGCACCTTGGCGTTCACGTACTTGGTGCGTGGCCAGCGCCACGAGGCCCACCAGTACTCCTCCGGGCATGGGTTCGGTCGCGTGTTGGCGTCGACGTACGTGCGGGGCCGCAGCGGGCCGATGGGACTCAACAGGTAGTCAAAGAAGCCGTGGTACTTGCGCTCAACGTTGTGGCCCAGGGTGGGCATGTCCGGGTCCTGGCCGAACTGCATCTGCAGAATGCGTGTAAAGCGCTCCACGGCGGTGCGCGGCGGTGGCATCGGCTTTGCGGTGTCGAAGGCGGGCAGGTTGTTGATGTAGTCCTGGGAGGCCATGGACGGTGCTTTGATAGTTTCGTACGGTGCCGCACTGGTGGGGTGCTCATGGTGGTGCTCGTCACCGGCGTGCGTCGCGGCGGCTGTCCCCGTCATTGCTAAATTTTCTCTAGTTCCGACTGAGAGTAAACTAAAAGCAGAAAAGGTATATGTTTCTTTTTTTTTTTTGGGGGGGGGGGGTTAGGGCTGCTACCCTTTCCCTTCTGTGCGGTACGGATTTGTGCCGTTCAGCACAGGAAGCCAAGGTCGAAGGCACGACTTTGCACAAAGGGGCAAAGGACACTCCGCTAACACTGTGCCACACGTCACCGGTGGAAAAAGAGAGAAGAACCTCTCTCAAGGCGATAAGATACAAAAACAAAATAGAAGAAAAGCTACACAGAAACGGAGAAGTGCTATTACTACCTCCTAAACAGTTTTTGCTGTTGTTGTGTCCTAAGTATTTTGCTAAACTGAATGGTCCTCTCTTTGATGTCCGTCACCCTCAAACTCCGATGTGAAGTTTGGCGACGTGTGACCTTCTAAAAGAAAAGGAAAAAGAAGGGAAATTGTGGTAGAAAAGGTGAGTTTCGAAGCGTAAGAGTACAAAAAAAGATTGAGATGCGGAGAAGCAGTGGTGACCAGAGACGCCGATGACACAAGGGATGTGCCAGAGGGGTAACACTGAGGAGCAACACTCTGGCATTTTTGCGGCATATCCTTGTGCCGATGCCTAACCGCAGAGCTTCTTGAATGTCTTCTTCCTTCAACTGACTAGTTGTGCTCGTCAGGAAAATAAAG